TTTTGTATGTCGCTTACTATTTCTGGTAGAATGGTTGTTATGTCGTGTGCAAGAATGGCTGTCAATATCTTATAATCTGAGTTAAATAGGGACACGGGCCTCCACGCCCTTTGGATCAGACGGCTCTCCCTCACTTTTAAGCAAGAGTATACTTGCTCTCTCGAAACATATTCGGTCTGATCACTTCAGCAAAAAGCCCATTTAGCATTGTCAAAAGATGGACTTGTATTGTTTCAACGAAGGTTTTGTAGCAACTCAAAAGTATCCCGTCAGGGCCGGCGGTGGCGGTTACGTTCATGTGCTGAAGCACGAAGCGTAATTTATCCAACGTCACTGGGCTGCACAGACCATCGTGAAGCTCCTCCGGTACGCGGGAAATTTCCGCGCAAAACTCATTAACTATGGTGGCATAGTTTACTTCGCTCGCGTTCCCCGCCCTGAAAAGAAAAAAAATGTATTTCAGAGATGCTCATTATGTCTTCTGCTCATGTAGACTGTTATACCGTTCGGCAAGTGAACGAGAGAAACATGCATTTGTTCACCCAAGGAGCCTTTGCGAACGCTTCGAAGAACAGCTGGATCTGAAACCGCCTGTCAGGGAAAAGGTATCTAGCTTGCAACGATTGACAGATTGCGACAAGTAATGGCGTCGAGTTTACATCATCAAAACGGCCCATTTTTGTGTCACTGGTGGCACGCCGGAAACTTGAATGCCCGTGATCAAGGCCATTTTAGGATCCGACATCTTTTTTAAGCGTGGCCTATTTTTTAGTTAGTAACGATGAACCTTTGTGTAATATAAAACGTTTTGCTTACATTTGCCGAGAAAAAGTACTTAGAGTTCAAGTGAAAAGCAGCTGAATCAATCCGTTTCACTGAAAGTCAGACTCACTGGTTTTTTTTTTCTTGTTTCTTTCGGCACTTACATTTTTTTGAAATTTAAGAAGATTAAATCATACGCAGGAACGGTGAAAGAAGCAGCTGTCCCGATGGTCAGGTAATCTTATATACTATCCGTCTCGTGCGCCACCGATGGTGGCGCTACGTACGGCGCTCCGGTGACAAACAAGGGGAATTCGGTTTTGGTCTTCTGCTGGGCTCTGGCTAGAAACGCAGCCTTTTCGTTGTGGTTCACTCTAGTCGCTCGGAGTTTCTAGACTACTAGGTGTATTTTCTTCTAGTGATAATTCTTTATATGCCTGCCAGCATTACAGATATAAAAAAATGTTTATACTTAACATGTCGTCTATATAGGCAGAGCCATCGTGGGAAGGATCATGCCACTAGTTTAGTATTGACACTTACTGGTCTGCACGGTGTCGAAATCGCTTACGTGAAGGCGTGAATGTCTCGTCAAGCAAGTTTACGAGAGAATGCGCTGTTTTGAAAGTGAAGCATGACATATTTGTCGCTTATCAGAATAAGCTAGCGTTGTGTAAACAGACTTGAGCTTAACGAAAATTCACAGCCGACGTACAATTGTAGCTATGGTATCCTGTATCAATGTTGCCAGATGCTACCAAGCTAACAAGTGAATAATTAACCGTCACAAAATAAGCTCAAGAAAAAGCTACGTGGCCTTAGCGATGATTCCTCTAAATACTGTTAGTGTTATAATGAAACGTCCCTCAAACACGAAGAGGAGTTGAAAAGTGGATTTGCTTTGCACAGCAAAATTATGTGCAAGTATGAACGAAAGCCCATGTTTCCATAAAACATTGTGTCCCAGGTATTTTTTATTTATTTAAATGCAAGTTTACCGGTGAAAAGTTGCAGTTACTTGTATATTCATTCAAAGTATGTCTGACTACAACAACGAACCATTAAAAGTCATCGACAAACCCGGTATTGAAGAATGGGATGATACTGAAATATTTATTTGCTGAAAAGTTGCAAAGAAGCCCCCCAAAACCACGACAAGCGACTAGAAAATATATATACGTCTACTTGGCGAAAAAAAAATAAGCGCTGATACTGAGAGCTCCGTTGAGTGTACAAAAACATTTGCCCATAAAATAAAATTGCAAATTTCACCGACCAACGGGTTTTCGCAGAACTAGTGTACTCTGGACCAGTTAGGTTTACATTAAAACTTGTTACACGTACTCTCGGCTCCCACGGAAACGCCAGCAGTGGTGCGCGGGGTACGATTCACATCCTTATGATTGGAGAAACGCTCATGTGCTTCTCCGCTCGTGAGTGACATTCATGCTTTCACATACTCTGCGCTGCCTAATGGGGTGGGTGAGACTATAAAAGGCGATTGCAGAACGGTGCGACAATATATTGGGACAGGCATGTACGGCACGGTTCACAGTTAGGGGGAATACGCAAGCGCTGGCCCGCGGGGCGCCTACTGCTGGCGAGATTTGGAAATTGCGGAGCATACGCACAGAATCGCGTCGTCTGCTACTTCCCCGCCCTACTTTCGGCGTGCGCTTGCGACAACCTTGCTGTGCTCGCTTTATCGATCATTGATTTTCTTGTCTGTTATCAAAAGCGGCTGGCTGGTTTGAACAGCGTTTGGAAAGCTTACAATAAAACTTTTGTTGGGCACAAACACCAGGCTACGCGAGCGATTGGCTTTGTTATCACTTTCACAGAATGCCACAACTGGGGGCGTATTTACTCGCTTATCGCATTTTCGGCAAAACTAGATCTTAGAAGCGGCATGGCTAGAGTACCTGAGGATGAAAGGCTTCGAATAGTTGAGCTGTACTCTAATAATTAGAGCCAGCGTGCTGTCAGTGCCATCGCGAAAAGGCCACTTTCTCATTACCAGCGTAAGCATCAGGATTACGAAAGCAATTTTTTTTCAGTGCCTAGTTCTTTTACGCGTAGTCTTATTTCGCTCACACAGATCTGCATTTTATTGTGTGTTTCGTAGGGCACAGATGTGTTCCATTACATTTGCACTATTTAAATGTTTCGAGGCTACAGATCTGACCTCACTCGACCTGTCTGTCACATAATTTTGGGGAATAATTTTTTTCTTTGTTTACTCCGTAGTGTACTACATACACTGTTTTTCTGGGTGCGTATTCGTGAAACGTTATGATTTTCGGAAAAGGGAACGCTATCGGATATTCCAAATAAGGAGCTTCTACCGTTTTCGCTTCAACGAAGCAAACTAAATGTAACGCGAGTTATAACTAACACTTGCGGGGTATTGCAATCCACAATAATTATATAATTTTCTATCCCGTCGTAGTGGGATACATTGAAGTATATCAAAACACATGTTTCCTTAGCCTTTTTCTGAATACTACATATACGCACGTGGCTGTTTTTTTTTCGCATTTTGCCTGTATTCTGAAATTGGCTGCTGTGGCAATGAATAGAATTGCATCAAAGCTGCCGAGAAAGCACAACAACAAACGAACGGCACTTTTTTTCCTGCGAGCTGATTACCCGTGGACGAGCAGGGAGAGTGGCGGGGACATGAATCGCACCACGGAGAAGCGAACGCGGTATTCAGCTCACTGATGAATAGCGTAGATGAAACGCGACAAGCCCCACCCTTTCGCATCTATGCGCATGCGCTGTGTTTACAAATCTCGCCGCCAGTTTGCGTCACGCGAGTCGCCAGCCACGCGTTGCCGTGTTCCCTCCAAGAGTGAACCATACGGTACGTACGGCCGGCATCATAAGTTTAGAAACCACTGTAGGTCTGAGGAAACGTTAACCTTCCCAGAAAATTGTGACTGCATTTGGCTTAAGTGCTTAGTATGACCGTCTGTAAACGCTCAATACCGCTCCGTAGCCTGATATAGACTGGTTTGTACTGAAGCCAGTACTACGAAGTCAAATAAAATGTTATTTTGTGTTTGTGACGGATCGCGGTAGTTCAAGCACTGGATTGTGAGCGCGCTCTTCCCGCCACTCAGATACGAGTGAAATACACGTCGACGACCCAAATGAAGCTGCGCTACAGCTATTGTTGTGCTGTGGCCTCCGAGATGTCGCGCGGCGGGCGATCCCGGAGACAATGGTCGGCTGCGGCAAACATGCCCATGCACACTTTGCTGCTATGGTGTCAGTTCCAGCCGGTCTGGTCCAGGTCAGGCTGCGGAGCCTTTCAATTAACCGTGCGGACGCTCGTGCACGTCGCAAGAATGTTTAGTAAAAATGCCAGGCCTGCACGGAAGGCACAGCGCAGTCACAGCGAAAGCTAGAAGAGCGGCCTTTCAGAGCCTTTTCTAAACACTCATTGGGTAACTGCTGCAAGGACACTCGCTTGATACCCACTACGACATTAATAATGAAATATTTTGGGTAGTCGGCCGACATTTGCTATGCTGTTTCACGTCAATATTCTGAGAAGAGCGGTATCCGCTAAACAATTGGAAGAAATTTTCTGCCGATCGTTCATGCAGTGGCTGACGACGATTAGGAATTATGCCTGAAGTGGGCATGTGCCACAGTTAATAGGTGAACAAAAACAAGCTTTTGTATTTGGTTAGGGCATTGGACGACCACCTCATTCCGCTATTCGCATTGTGCGACAACTGGTTGTTTTTTCGCTGATTCAAAACTCTTTGTAAGCCGTATAAACGCCATTGCTTTCCCGACATCAGCCCTCCCTAAGGCAAGTTTACCGACAAGTTCCAAGCACCAGGGTTGCTCAGTGGTAGAATACTAGGCTGCTACCCAGCGGACACGTGTTCGAGCCCCCCTGTGCCTTTGGTATTACGTTCTTTTTTTTCTAATTTCATGTGATGTGGCGCCGCGCGGGACCCGAGTTTTGATCTCATAACAGCTTTCACTGCAAAAGGCTGGAAATGTGAATTCAATCGTGGCTGGCGAAGCAGAGGAAATATTCGCCTTTTCTCCCGGCTTCATAGTGGTCTTCAACCTTTGAGCGATTACTCCATGCCTGCATGCTTTAAACGCTGGTTCGAAGGTGAAATAGCTTGGGCTCCACGCACGAACTTTGTCATTTGCGAAAACATCTCCACGTCTTACTAACATTCACTTGGTTGTTCTGTTATCTCTTGCAGCCAACGGACACACCCGAGTTCGGTGGCCACGTGGTTGAGCGATCGGTAAGTGCTTTGTGGGCCTCGGGGTCCTTCTGTACTGCTTCGAACACCTCTTGCTTTTGTTTGTTTATTTTTCCTGTTGAATATGTGTTCATACTTAATAAAGACCCATTGAAAAAGAAAAGGAACTTCGATGGACGGTATACGCTCGGGTCCCGTTTGTTTATATTTTGGTGCACTTAAGTTGAGCAGCCCTTGTTGGTCAAAGCTTTCGCAGCCTCCGCTAGGTCGTCCCTCATAGTCATATCGTGGTTTTGAGCGGATAACCTTCCACATATAAGGAAAGGGGAACTTGAAGAATCCCTTGCACATTCGCTCAGCAGTATTGCCCAATTTTCCTACTTGCACAGGTAGTAAGAGAAAAAAAAATGCCGCTCTATAATGCGCTAAAACTGCACAGTAGCGGCACTACCAGAATGGCACGGTGAAGGAACCATCCCATTTCATGACGTGTACTCCAGTAGCTTCTTTCGTGCACCTTGTCATTTCTTGTTGTGTAGATTCCAGTGCTATCGAAAGGACGGAGAGGAATGGAGAAACGCAGAAGGCGCCTAAAGCACGCCACAAGTCTCTGTGTAACTGCGCTCGTTCTCGACCAAGGCGAAAATATTGGGCGATGGTTGATGTGTGAGGAAATAGACGACGACGCTAGGGCAGTTTGATGCTTCCTTGGGAAAAGTTGCTCGGGAACCCTTTAAAGAAGCAAAACTGATTGAGCTCACAAAATTTAGCGAACTTGTTTGATTATACCTTCAAGGGCATTTTTGTTTCCTGAGTGGAACGCTGGTTTCAGTCTCTGTTATTTTTTCTCGTTTTTCATTGGGGCTTGTGGAAGACGCTGTCCTTCTGCCTGCAGAAATGGACGTAGAATCACCAGGGCCTCCACCCTTACCTTCCACGTCGTCTGTGGCCAATCTAAGAAAGCGCTCCAGCCACCCAAGTGACGTCGACAGTGAGGACACGCTGATATACTCTACGGCCAGTGATGAGAGCTCCGATGAAAGTGACTTTGTGCCCGTGGCAACACGCAAGGCAAAGAGGAGGCTACTTACGACATCTTTTCAAAGTAAGGTCACCCAGAATATTCAAGAGCCACTGGTTCACACTCTTTTGTTTGTCCCGCTGAATGCCGCTGACAGCTTGAACCGACCTAATCGCCAGGTCACGTCTATGTCACTTGAGGCATTCATTCCGGGACAAATACCAGACGTGAGAATAAATGGGTGCAAGAAAGTTCTGGTGATAGACGTTACGCAGCGTACTGCTCTCAACGTATTGACCAAGGTGAATGTGCTGGGGAACATCAACGTACGTTCTTTCATACCAGATGGCCAGGACTCTAGGGCAGGCATTATCTATGACGTCGACACTTCTATCAAAGATATTGATTCTTTCATTCTAATCAAACCAGTGATGGAAGCTACTATATTCTTGCAAGCCCGCCGTCTCGGGAACTCACGATGCGTGAAACTAGTTTTCAAGGGTGACAGTCTCCCAACTCAAGTAAGAGTTGGTCATTTTCGACAAGCAGTATATCCATTCGTGCCAAAACCTCTTCAGTGTCGGAAGTGCTGTAAAATAGGACACGTGAGTGCTCTTTGCACAAGTTCTGCTGTGTGCTCCCGATGCTCGGAGTCGCACAACACAGAAGCCTGCCAAGCAGAACGTCGCAAATGCGGCAATTGCCAAGGTCCTCACGAGGCGTCATCAAAGCAGTGCTCAAATGTGAAGAAGGAGATGCAAGTGCTGAGGCAGATGGCCAGAGACGGTTCCACCCACAGGGAGGCTGCTGCGAAGTGCGACGTTGGCGTTCGCGCCATAGGAAAACTCCTAGGACATCCTCTGCCAAGGCCAGGGATACACCGCTACCCCATATCACGCACTCACCACCACAAGCATCAACAAGTGCCAACAACAAGCATCCTCAGAAAGACGCAAGAAACATTGACACTGACGCGTGGCCAGCGCTGCCGTCAGTGACACCGCCAGTTGAGCTACAACATCGCCCGCTGAAAGCTACTTCAGAGCGAGTAAGTCGTGACAGTCAAGATAACGAAACAATAGACGTGATTAAGACTCTCATGAAGACAATTCGAGTATTCCTGAATAATATTCAGACTCCGGCTGCCCATAGCGCTCTTCAAATATTGGACGCTTTAAATCCGGTGCTATCAAATTTAGAGAAGCACCATGGCTCTTTCTCTACAGCCCTTCCGTAAACAAGTGAAAGAGGCATCAATTTTCCAATATGCCCGAAGCCTTAAACCCCGCATTTCAGATTTTCGACCATATGTTTTCAAGAGTCAGTTTCAACTTAACGTAATTTGTGAACCACGTCTTCACAATACTATACAACTTTGTAAATACGAGGCTTTCAGATCTGCAACCCGTAACGAAAACAGTAAGGTCATTGTTTACATCAGGTGCGAACTCAGATATATTGAGCATCGAGTAATACGTGTGCCTGACAGTTAAGCGTAAGAACATGAACTTCACGCTAGTGGTAGTATATATTTCGCCTTCAGGCTGCTTGGACCCAGCAAGATTAAGTATCTTTATATCAGCGACACCTGGGCCATGGACTATTACTGGTGATTTTAACGCTCATCACCCACTGTGGGGAAGCCAGAAAATGGACCGTCGGGAAAAAAATGTGTCTTCCTTTGCAACTGACCACCAACTATATTTTTTAAGTGACGGCACTCCCACGTTTTTACGGGGTCTGACATATAGTAGCTGTCTCGACCTAACTTTTGTGTCAAGTAGCCTAAGTACGAAGGTGCAGTGGTTTGTGGACAATGAAACGCATGGCAGTGACCACATCCCCACCTATATAAAGATCAAGGGGCTAAGCAAGTCGCAGATGACGTCCGCTTCACGAATAGACTGGTCAAAGTATAGATCATCCACAGAGAAGCAATGCGAGAGAAACCAAGAAGGTTCTCTTGAAAGCCTAGAAGGTATAATGAAGGCCGCTATTCAAGAGGCAACGTTTAATTGTGGACCTTTGCCAGATTTTCGCAAATATGAGGTAGAGTTGGAGCGACTTCGCGCAATCCGTCGTCGCGCCGAACGACGTTATAGGCGCACGAAATCCATCTACGACTTGAGGGAAGCGAGACATCTACAAAAGAAGATTCAACGTCGAATCAATGCACTACAGTCGCAACGATGGAAGTCACTAAGCGAGTCACTCGATCCCCACAAACCTCTTTCGCAAATATGGAGAATAATCCACGGCCTACGAACATTGCCACAACAGAATCGTCCGTTCAAATTCCTTGCTCTCCACCAAAGCCGACGTGAAATCGATGTAGCAGAAGACCTCTGTGCCAGGGTTGCAAACAAAGGGTCCGGGATCAACATGAGTAACCTACGAAACGCACCGTTGTCCAGAGACACTCGGATGAAAAATATGTTTTCTCTAGAGGAGCTTCAAGCAGCATTGGCAGCATGCAAGCGCTCGTCGTGTCCTGGACCCGATGTAGTCACTTACATGGCCCTTGCTAACCTAGGACAAACAGCTCGGCGTGCCCTTCTAGCTGTATACAATTACTCGTGGAGCAACGGTTTCTTTCCTCCTTCGTGGAAGTGCAGCCGCCTTGTGCCCCTGCTCAAACCAGGCAAATCGCCTCTAGACATGGCCTCCTATCACCCCATCGCGCTTGTCAGCTGTTTTGGAAAGGTGATGGAGAGCATGGTGCTGACTCGCCTGGAGTGGTACTTGGAACATAACAATATATACCCCGCGGCTTTGACCGGCTTTCGACGTGGACGGTCTTCCATAGACAATGTTGTTGATCTTGTCACGTCCTTACAACAGCAGAAAAGCCTAAAGAGATTATCAGCGGCATTTTTCTTGGATATTAAGGCTACATATGACAATGTACTACAAGAAACCATCCTGGACGCCTTGGGCAGCATTGGATTGGGAGGCCGCGTTTACCAATGGATCTACAGCTATTTGAAGGACAGAACCTTCTTCGTTCATACAGAAGATGGTGCAACAAGGCACCATCATACTTATCGCGGCGTACCTCAAGGTGGGGTCCTAAGCCACCTACTTTTCAACTTTGCGCTCATCGGCCTCGTTGACGTCCTGCCACACCGTACGCCTGTCGATATACGCGGACGACATCTGCATTTGGGCATCAGGGGTCAAGCGTCTACACGTACGAGCAAGGCTTCAGAAAGTGGCTACACTGACGTCAAACTACTTTCAAGGACGAGGACTGGAGCTGTCATCTGAGAAATGCTCACTGGTTGCGTTTACGCGCAAGACAATGACGCCATACCGCATCAGAATTAATGGACACACGATCAGCTATCAAAAGACCCACTGTTTCCTGGGAGTATTAATAGATCGTGACTTGTCTTGGAGCCCTCATATCGCTCACATGAAGAAGAAACTGACCATGATCACCCACGTCCTAAGGTTTCTTGCCGGAAAATCATGGGGGGCATCGGTACGAGCCATGCTTCAACTGTATGCTGCACTTTTTCTTGGCTTCATGCGCTACAGCCTACCAGTGATTGGCAAGGCCTGGCAATGACTGGAGGACGTACGCGTCCTCCAGTCATTACGAGCTCAAGCACTGAGAATACGCCTCGGACTGCCGAGATGCGCATCCTCAGCAGCGACTGTCGCAATCGCTCATGAACACCCTATCACAACCTACATTCGTGTCGATGCTTTAAGAACGCACATATTGTAACGATGTTGAAGGACTCGGGGTATAACAAAACGTATTTATTAAAGGGCGAACCTGTGCCCACCACTCAAACGGACTATGGTCGTAGCACGTTACAGCAGAACGGCAAGATGTCTTCCTCTTCTACTTCTTCAAGAAGAGTCCCAAGCGCGTGGCACACATCAGCAGGGGCCAGCTGGGTTCTCGTGCTATCATCATCGTCTCTGCGCAACACTAGACGGCGCCCATGTATGTCTCTGTGCGCGTGGTGATGGGCGCGTTATTTGAATGCAGTCACTATCCCTATCGGAA